GTCGAGGTCCAAACAAGGAGGAGGAGGAGGGGTGGGCTGAGCCATTATCAACCGAGACCAGAAAAGCAGTCTATCGGGCGCGGCAATCCTCGCCTCGGCGATTCCTTCGTCAGACAGGTGCTCTCGCCTAGCCGCTCGAGGCTCGGGGCTGTCACAGAAAAACTGTCTGTGGACCAGGGAGTCGGGCTGACGACAAAGCGGACACAAACCGTCGTGAACATACCCCGAGGATCTCAGCCTATCTCCCGTCCAACAGGCCCCCGAGAAAACAGCACTCAACCAGTATTTTTCACGAGGGGAGGTGCGCTTGGACCGCATCATTCTTTGAAGCGGGTCCGAAGCTACTCTGTCGGCACTGAACTCTTGCAAGGCCTGCGCCATACGACGCTCATGTGATCTCTGAACTCCATCCTGCAGTAGCTTATTGACCAGGGCAGGTGCCGTGTAGAGAAGATCGATAACGTATCCTCGGTCGTCGTGCCACACTGTGAAACTTGTAGCTGTCCACCATATTCTATGTAGGCTCAACAGCATGCGGTGTATGGGTCCCCGAGATAGCTTCCAGCCAGAAGGTTCCAGAACAAGGTTTTGAGCTTCCACCGTGTCCCGCCATATCTGGATGTGTTCCCGAAACGAGAAAGGCGACGATCGTGACTGGGTGATGGACCTCCAGATGCTCAAGGCCCATTGGGCCGCTGGTGCAACCGCCTGCTTCCACGCTGGATCGCCGTGCAAGACCAACTTAGCAGTGAGGGAGGCACCTTTGTGTGCTGGGCTGCGTCCAGCCATTAGGGTACTCTGAAGCGCCCGTAGTTCGCCATCCGCAAAGCCAATAATCATGGCTCCGTAGCCCGCTGCATGACGAACTCCAGCAACATAAATCTTAGACATTCTGGACTTGTCCCGTGGCAACCGTTTGCGGTAAAATGATAAAAAGCGGTGCCTTTTACGCATAGTTCGTAGTCGTTGGTGCCGCTTGCGTAGTCCTCCTCCGCATCCTCTCCTCTGGCCTGGTGTTAGGTCTGTCCCCAGCGATACTACTGCATTCGATGCCACCGACGGACATGCTACTAGCAGCCTCCTGGAGAGCATCGTCGCCAGCCTCTGCGAAGATGCAAACGTCACGGCCTTGTCCTCTGCTAGGTGGACGTTCAGCCGTTCCGAAAAATAGCTTTCAAGTCGTGGCCAGCCTTGGTTAGGTTCGCCATTATCTCATCCTCGTCTCCATACGCGACAACCGTGTCGTCATCTATGTAGGAGCCTAACGATACCTGTGGATTTCGGAGCGAGAACTGGTCGAAATCGTACATAGCATAAGCTGTAACGAAGACGTCGTTAAAGATGTCCCCCGCTGGTAGACCCGAGCCCGCAAAGAGCACCAGAGGGGAGCAGTTGGGGCCCAATCGGAGTATACGGGGACCACGCCATAGATTGTATATTGTCTTGATGAGGACCAGAGGAATGCCCCAGTAGACGGCTCGATCTCGGAGCCATGCTAGAACAAACGATTCGTAATATGTCATACCATCCCAAATGGAACTTGTTGTAGCCTTCCCCGTCGAAGAAGCCTGTTCTGCTAGGACTCTTTGTTTCCAGATGGCCACCTCCGAACTGGTTCCATTCCCGAAGGACCAGTAAGGCCGTTGGGCCCGCTCTAAAAACTCATCAGCTTGGCCCCGTCGGAGCCTCTCCCACAGGCGCACGGGCGACCCCAGCAGCAGGATGGGCCGTAGACCTCCCTTCGGCTTCTCCAAGAGGGGCATCAGCATCCACAACAATTGGGACGGAAAAATGCCTATCCGCTCCACCGCCTCAAAGACTAGCGCCAGGACCTCCAGCCCCATGTCGCTTAGGCAGGCAAAGCGTCGCGGGTGGAAGCCGTCCAGCGACTGGGAGGTATGCCTGCTGAAGGACCTCGCGGCGACGCGGAGCTCCGTCGGGGTGGCTCGTGGGAAGCACTCACGATCTGGGACCCAAGCTGTTGGAGGGCTTAAACTAGCATTCCAGTACTCACCTAACTTAACCGTCTCGTCCATGAGGAGGCTATTCGGGTCCGACGTGAATATACCAGGGGAGTTTTGCACAACCGTGGGGGCCCGAACCTTCTGAGCTCTGGTAACCCTGTGCATGAGCCTTGCGGAGCCTTGAAGAGCTTGAGTGGTCCAGGTGTCCCAAGATTCCCTTGCAAACCGCTCCCCTTCAGCAACAGCCTCATCAAAATCAGCTTGAACATCTTGCAGGAACAGTTGTGCACGCTCACACCATGCCTGCTTGGCCGAGGGGTCAGGGCGCCAGAGGAGTGCAATCTCACGCATGACGCGCAAGGAAGCATCAAGCCTGGCACACTGACCTTCTCCCGCACAGCCGTGTTGCAAGGCTACCTGGAGGTGTATGCACGTGCACTCGTCTAAATCGTCCGACTGGACCGCCGTGACAAACTCAGTGAAAGCGTTAAACAGCCATTTCCAACCTGCGATGATCTGGAGCCTAGCATCTGGGTCCTTCGGCCGATAGAAAACTGAAACCCAAGATGCCTTAATCGTCCTGCTCCTCTCTCCTAATTCCCGTGGTTCAACTCCGAGAACATTACATAGTTCCACTTCGGCAACGTCAACGAAGTGGCCCCAAGCCTTCGACAGCACTCTCCAAGCGCGGCATGCCGAAGAGAGAGATGCGTGAGCAACAGCTTGCGCAGCGTGTGCTAGTGCACCTCGCCATTCTGCAGGATGGGGTGTGGGACCATATGGAGGATCATGAGGAAGCTTCTGATGTGATCGATAGATGAGCTGCCTGAGGGAGAGAGCCTCTGCCTTGATCTTCAAACGTACTGGGCGGTGCGGCTTGACCTCCCACTTGGTGTCGACTGCGAGACCGTCAATCAGTCTGGCCATCCCTGGACCCAACAAGAAAAAATCGATGGTGCTGCTAGAGGCTGGAGACCTGCACGTGGGCATAGTAAGAGCGACTATCACCATTCCTAATCGACGGGGAAACCCAGACTCCTCAAGAACTTGTGGCGATAGATTCCAATCCCCTCCGATGATGGCGTTCTCCGAGTCCAACACCGACCTTCCAAGAGCCTTCAGGATGCTGAGGTTGGCCTCGCTGAGGCCTTCGGCCGAACGAAGGTATACCGAATAGAGCGACACCGTGGGCCATCCGGGGAAGTCGGTCGAGGAGGACCTTGATAGCACGATGAGCCACGATGCAACCGTCACCTCCCCTTTCGGTGGGCCACCTGAGTCCCACCGCCAGACGAGCAAATACGCCGACTCCACTAGATAGCTTTCCAGTCTCAGGATTGAGTCGAGCAGGGAGAAAGAGAGCGTGCCAACCGAGCCCACGGGCCGCGCTGGTGGCCTGCCCTAGGAACTCGTCACTGATGCCCAGCTCCTGAGCACAGAGTACCACTGCATCCGTCTCAGCGAGACGGCGTCGAAGTGTCTTCCAGCACGAACCGTTGAAAGACTCAATGTAAAAAGAACTATTCTGCACACTCTTAGGGGCCCCTCTCAGGGCTGGCACTGGCCGACCTGAAGATGAGAGCGGAATCCCCGAGAGAAGAGGACCAGGGGCGCCGAACATAGTGTCACCCACACTTTTGTTTCTTGGCCTTGACCCCCATTGTGCGCAGAAGTGCTGTGATCTCCTCCGAATGCTCCTCGCCCTCCTTCCTAGCGACTGCCAGAAGCTTCGAGATGTCCTCAGAATCGAAATCGTCCAGGTCGATGTCCATTTCACCATCCCCTGGAACTGGAATAGCGTCTCCCCCTGGTTCTTGCTTTGGAACACCTGGGCCCCCAGGGATGCCTTCAGCGGGAGGTGGGGTTGGGGGAGGTGTGTTGGCCGTGACCTGCGCCGCCTGCACCGCAAGCAGCTCCTGGTACTTGGCGAAAGACGGCGATGCCACCAACTGCTGCACCTCGGGCGGCGCGTGCTCGAGCGCCTCGGGCGACAGCTGCGTGCAGGACGGCGTGGACTCCTGGGCCGGGGCCACCTGCTGCAGGGTGCTGCGGAGCTCCACCTGGGACGCCGCGATCTCGACCTTGATCGCCTGGATCTTGTCGCGCGCCTGCGCCAACGCCTCCTGAGCACCCTTGATGGCCTGAAGATGTTCAGCAGCTTCATCCTCAAGCTTGGCCAGCTGCTGCTGACGCTTGGCCAGCTTGTGCCCCAGGGTGGTGTGCCTCGTGACGGCAGGCTTGCGCTCCGTGATCGACTTACGCACAGCTGCCAGCTCGGACTCCATCTGGGCCAGGGTGGCCGAGGAGCCCAGCTCAGGGCACTTCTTGACGATGGAGAGCGCCTCCTCCATGGCGTCAGCCTTGGCACGAAGGGCGACCAGCTCCGTGTCCACCACGCCGTCACCTTCTTCAGCATCGGGCTTGGGTTCAGGCTTGCGGGCTGCACCAGTGCCTGCGCCCTGCGCGCGCACTTCCCGCCTGACCTCCTGCACCCTTGGTGAGCTGCTCGACCTGCTTAGCCAAGTTGGCCAGCTGCTGCTCGATCTTGGATGAGTTGCCACCTGCCTTGAGCACAGGTGGACCGCGCGCCCATGCACCGCGAGGACCAGAAGAACGATTCCCCTCGCCAGGGCTGGACTTCTTAGCGTTCTCCTTGGCGCGCTGGATGACTGACTGGGGAGCTGCCTTGCCGCAGATGCAGCGGACTCGACATGCCCAGTTCTGGTTGCGCCCGCAGTGGGGGCAGCCCCAGCAGGGCTGCCTCGGACCTGGGAGCACCGCCTCATCGTCCTTGGCCATGGGACCCGCCGATGAGGCGTCGTGGATAGTGGAGGGAAAAGGTCCCTCAACATGCGTACCGAGCCAGAAAGACCCGCAACGGCGACTGCCACTTCGAAGACGGCCGTTGCAAGCCCAGAACTTCCTGGGCCGAAATGGCTCATGAATGGGAGAAGGAGCAGGCGGAGGAGGAGGAGGAGCAGCAGCAGCAGCAGCAGCAGCGGCAGCAGCAGGAGGACCCCCCCCCCTCCTAGCAAGGAACTGGCTACGCACAGCGGGGGCGAGTGGCGCGACACGGACCGGCCGGCTGGCCGGCTCCCGCTGTCTCTTCGCCTCGTGGTCGATCGGCGCAGGCTTGGAAGATGGGCTCGGCCGACTGCTCTCGGGGCGCGGTGTCGTTCGTCTCGCTGTCGCTCACAGGGTCGCGGAGGTGGCGGGGGTCGGTATCGTTGAACCAATCCCCATCCCCATCCCCATCCCCTCCGAGACCCCCACCAAATTGCACCCCCAGTTGGGGATACACCCCTCGAAACCCGAAGGATGCGGCCTATATCCCCATCCAGGGGTGCTAATCGGCCAGTGGGGCCCAGGCTACGCCGCTGGGGATGGGGATCGGTTAAACGATACTCAGTGGCGGGGGTGACGCGTGCGCTTTTTTTTATTGTGGATTCCACCTTTGTCACGTCGTGGCATGTTGTATGCAGTAGCAGTCGCAGATGTGATAGTGCTCCCTGATTGCTTCGCGGGTCAGGATTGGTACGGCTCCAACTGGAAGCGCGGCTCCAACGAGACCAGCTCTGGTGGGATGCTTTCTCGCCCTCTGTGCTGCGTGGGTGCGACACTCCATGTCTTGCAGTCGCATAGCAAGCACGTTCTGTTGCAGGCGACGCCCGTATCCTTCCTGGGCGCCAGCGCGTCGTCACCTCGTGGTTTCCATGCTCTGCTCCTCGGACGCACACTTCTCCAGCGGGCTCGCCGGGGACTCACCCGGGACTGTCTTGGGCTCGCCGTCGCCCGGGCCTGCGACGCATCCGCTCCGAGCGGGCACGCTCCGGGGATGTAGCCGGCTCGAGGCTGGATCCCAAGACGGGAGAGCCGGTGACCCCCCGGTGTGAGACGCACCATCCTTCTGGATCAGAATCCGGGCGGGGATCCAGCCGGATGGCCAACGCATCTGGAGATGGTAGGTGGTGGCCACCAGGGCCCCCAGGGATGCATCAATCTGCGTTGAGTTTTCACGTTTGGCCACCGTTAGAACCTTCGGGTTGCTTGCCTCCTCCCACCCTTCCCTCTTTGCTGCGCTCTGCCAGCTGGTGCGTTTTGCTTGGTATTGCATTCTGCTGGCTGGTGCATCCGTTCGTCCTCATTTTTAGTGTTGTCCGTCCATACTGTTATATTGACCTCCGACTGGCGAGTCCTTGCTGGAATCCGCCTTGCAGGACCGCGAAAAGGAGCTCTCATGCTCTCATTGTAAGATCGCCGGCAACAGCAACACCAGCCCGATTTGTGCATTGCGACTCTCGCTTGGGCAGTTTTGCCCAAGACGCGCTCTGGCCAGAGACGCCAGTCGAGAGGTCCTGCAGCGTTGCAAATCCCACCATACCTCCGATTGGCGAGTCCTTGCTGGAAGGTCCTCGAACAGGAGAAGTATTTCAGCAGGCTCGCAATTCTAAACTTCCGAAATCCTTAGACGGCGCCATAGTGTGCCAAGATCGCCATAGAACGTCCTGACTCCAAGAGGGCGTCAAGACGGCCCAACAGGCCCCCATGACTCAAATGCGGGATCGACTACATCATTGAATTACCCCCAAATGGATTTTTCGTCGAATCCAGTGGAAATGAAAGTATCATGTTCGTACATCTACGAACATTATATGTCTTGTTTCCGTAGAGTCGACGGAAATTTCAAGGTTGGGTCAATCAATTATGGAGTCGATCCCCTATTCGAATGACGGCCGACGATGCCCCCCATTCGGCCCAAGAAGCTCCCAAGACCGCCCCTAGCAGGGGCCCCAATAGGAGGACATCGAGTGTGCTTCGGGAGCCGTGCACCCAAGACGTCCCTGACGACCTCCGAGCTCGCCCCCAGACAGCTTCCAAGACGTCTCCAAAAACGGAGGCCAAAGTCTTCCGATACCGCATTTCCAGCCAGCGTACAAGAGGCTTCAAGGCGACCCATGGACGGCTGGAGATGGTGCGGAAATTCTTTACTAATGCCCACCGAGAAGCCAGAGTCATCGAATTGGAGGCCTTGCCAGTGCGGCCCGGATTGATTTTTCTGATTGTGGTGCACCTTGGTTTGGCTCCAGATGCGTGGCAAGGAAGGGATGGTCGGCTTTCGATACTCCGTGGTGTGGCCTTGGTGTCGTGCACCTCGCAGCCAGACTCGGGCACAATTCTTTGTTGCTGAGCTCCTCCTCCTCCAGTCCTCAGGTGGATCCAAGGAAGCGCAAGAAGCTTCGAAGAAACCTCAGGACTCCCGGACACGTCGTCGGCCATCCCAACATTAATTGCCGCAGGTCTCTACCACCCCCGAAGGATCTCCAGAATCGCCCCTGCATTCCTCATTGGCAACGTGCGATGCGAGGTCCTTGAGCACGGCTAGAACTCAAGCGCGCGCGAATCGCGCGCGCGTTGTTCTAGTCTCCAGATCTGTTCCTGCCAGCATGAAGATTGTTTGATGTCGGGTGTCTCTATATTCATATTCCCTCTCTCGCTGGTTCTGTGGTCTGCTCACTCCCCAACGACGCTGACCGAATGATAGCGAGTGGTAACTTGTTACCCAAAAGCTGGGAGAATACCCCTTTGTTCTCTTGCACAGTGTGTCTAGAGCTCCGACAACTTTATTCCGCGTCGTACACCCCCCCCCGCGTCCCCAGCGCCACAGTGGGACCCCCGCGCCGTGGCTCTCTGGCCCGAGCCCCCCCGCGTCCCCAGCGCCCCAGCGGGAGCCCCGCCCACTGCCGCCTCCGCCACGAACGCTGTATTCCGCGTCGCACCCCTCCCCCTCGCGTTCCTAGCGCCAGAGTGGGACCCCCGCGCCGTGGCTCTCTGGCCCGAGCCACCCCGCGTCCCCAGCGCCCCAGCGGGAGCCCCGCCCACTACCGCCTCCGCCACGAACGCTGTATTCCGCGTCGCGATGCACACCACCTCCCCCACCTCCCTCCCCGCGTCCCCAGGGCCCCAGTGGGGGCTCCGCCCCGTGACGCACACCACCTCCCCCACCCTCCCCTCCCGCGTCCCCAGCGCCCCGGTAGGAGCCCAGCCCAGTCACACAGCGCCCCCCCCCCACGTCCCCAGCGCTCCAGTAGGAGCCCCGCCCACAGCCCCCTCCGCCACGAACGCTTTCTTCCGCGTCGCGACGCACACCACCTTCTCCGATTTTTCGCGCCCTATATCCCTTCCCCGTCCACCTCCTTCACCTCCTTATCCTTCCCCCTCCCTTCTTTGCAAGAGCCATGTCGCGCGCGCCACTTGTTTAGCTTGCTTGGTTTGGGCGTTTGTTTTCCCCTATGCCAGCTTGTGAGTGAACAACATGCTTTCTGGTCGCGCAATGCCTAATGCCGCCGACCAAACGGTGGTGGGGCGGCGCTTCTAGTTAAACGAGGAGGGTGGGAAAACGATCAAGGCACCCGAAGAGAACGAGGAGGACGAGGAAGAGGAGGGACCATCTACACAGTAAACGCTGGTGTTGTTTTCGATTCTTCGGCCGCACAGTACCAAACGCAAAGCCGCCCGACATCGGAAAGTGGTGTCCCTCCAACGTTAATCTTATTGAGTTTCGGGGTTCCCAACTGTTTGTCATTATTTCGGCGGCCAAGTGAACCTGGACAGGTTCGGTTGTATATTGTCGAATGCAGCCAGCAGAGAGTTAGCGGGCATCTGGTTCAATCTAGAAACCACCCAAGTAAGCCACGTGTTTCATGCCGCCGGTGCCAGTTGACGAAAGATATTGCGGTTGAAGAACAATTGGGATCATTGTTTCGTTGCATGGGAACTCTTTGATCACAGGTGCGATCAACAACACCAACAACCCACAATTGCGAAACGGACGGGGCGATAACAGGATCAGGCCGGTCAGGGGGCGCGCGCGAGTTCATCATGTACGACATGTTGCAACGATGTTGCACAGCTTGTGGAACACACATAGATAACAACCGCGCTGCGGTGCAACATGCGCTTGCCAACTTCAGGCGCCGAGAACACTTTTAGATGCGGCAGCTGTAGGTGTACGTATGGTTGACATGCAACGGCCGTTTGAGCTTAGCCAGTAATACAGGCAAAACAGGTGGCGGCATATGGCCGCGCAGAGGGTGCCATCAGACAGCGATGTATCAGACTTTATGTGAGATGAGTGTTAGCAACTCGCGAGGTGCATGTTAAATAGCTGACTTATCCTGGCTTGATTTAGGGCGGATTTAGGTTGAGTCGGTTGAGTGTGTTTGTGTTTTGATGCCGACGACGATTGTAATGATGGTGGTTGTCAAATCGTAGTGCTGATGGTGGTGGCGATGGTGATGGTGATGATGGTGGTGCTCATCACATCCAGAATCACCATCATCACAATCACCATCATCACCATCACAACCGCCCTGACCATACCATCATCACCATCCCCATCATCATCATCATCATCATCACCATCATCATCACCATCCATACCATCAGCATCGCCATCACCATCACCATCGTCACCATTGTGGTCCGTAGGACTTGGCTCAAGGTAGTGTCGTCGTCCGCTCCTGCGGTTTCCCCGAGCCCTCCTTCGGTTTCCCCGAGCCCTGCGGCCTCCCCGAGCCCTGCGGCCTCGTTCTCTCCTTCGGTTTCCCCGAGCCCTGCTTCTTCGAGAGCGCCCTCGGCGGTTTCTTCGACAGCGGCCGCAGCGGTTTCTTCGAGAGAGGCATCCTCGAGCCGTGCGGCCTCGTCGAGAGCGGCCCCGTCGAGCCGCGCGGCCTCGGCGGCCTCGTCGAGGGCAGCTTCGCCAAGCCGTGGCAGCTGCAACAGCTCGGACGCCGATGCTGACGTAGGGTCCGGCGCCGACGGAGTTGCCGACGCAGCGGGCTCCTGAGCATTTCCATTTTGCGCGTCCGCCTCATTTCGGCAACCCCCTCAGACGTTTCGCGGCCCCCATCCGCAATGCCTCGGGCTCCACCCCTCTGGCGGCGCGCTACCTATGAGGAGAGAGTCATCCTGCGTTACTCGCAGCTGCATGGGGTTGGGCCCTTACGACGGCGACGACTTCCACGAGGACGACGAGGTGAAGACGGCGACGACGACGACACATCCTCTCCGCAGCCGCCTCCTCATCTTCCTCTCCTTTCCTCCCGCGTACCTGGTCATCCATCCAACCTTCCACTGCGTTCCTCCCACGAATCCCCGTCGTCGTTGTCCTCCTCTTCCTCCTCCTGCTCATCCTCCTGGTCCCCCTGTGCCTCGTACCCTGCGTCCCCCTCTCCTCGCCTTTCTTATTATTCTTCCTCCTCCTCTTCATCATCATCATCGCCATCATCATCAGCAGCAGCAGTGTCGGCATCATCATCATCGTCGTCATCATCATCGTCATCATCATCATCATCATCATCCTTATCATCATCATAATCAGCATCCCCCCCGTGGTCCATGGCCTTCCTCCTGCTCGCACTTTTTCCTGCTCTCCTGCTCCTCATCCTCCTCCTTCTCCTCCTCCTCACGCTCCCCCTCATCCCCCTCCTCCTCCTCCGCTCCGCCTCCCCCCCTCCCCCGCCAGCAGCAGCAGCAGCACTAGCACCAGCAGCAGCACCATCAGCAGCAGCAGCAGCAA